TGGAGTTCAAAGGGAAGTGATTAGGCTTTTAGTTACTGACTTCCTAATAAGTATTTTGACCAGAAACTGTGGTGGGTACTTGGCATACACTAGCTCATTTACTCTTTGCTTTATCTACTTTAAAGATGAAACAGTAGCAGGGAAAGCAAAGTATTAGGGCTTCATCTGTGACCTGCTGAAAACAGTCTCGGAGTGGCTAATAACCTCCATGACAGAAAGGCTCAACAGAGTCACAGCTTCTGCCTTAAGGAAGAAAGCCGAGCCAGCATACCTCATAAATAAGAAACTCCATGAAAAGACGTGGTCTCTGCTGTAATTTGTAATTGTCTCCAAACACACCATCATGAAGCTGGGTAAACTGTACCCTTGCCACACCCCTCCACGGTGAGTAACTCCTCCCGCCAATGATTTGACAATAGTGGACACAGGAATGGCCCAACTGGCAGTGGTATCTACAGGCCAGGTGCCCCATGACATTCCAGGGAGGGGGATCCTCAAAATACACTAAGCATCTTCCATGATTGTCAAAGATTTAGGACCAGCCCTGCCCTCAGTCAGCTGTAGTTTTAACAGGGCCCTGGAAACCCTGAGAAATATTGCTTTATCAGAAGCTACTGAAGTCATTTACATTATTCTGCTTCTAAATCTGAGTTCACTCCAATCCCTAGTTGGCAGAGCCTCCATTCTCCCTCAAAAGGGGTCAATGTCATCTTCCCAGAGAGAATCGTCCAGAGTTGCTGGCATCTTGCAGTTTTGCAGGCTACGGTGCCTCACAGAACAATATCAAGCTGAAGCAGCATCAGAGGGGACCCCTCCAGGGACTCCTTGCTCATGTCCAACCTCTGGTTCCCAATGACTCAAGCCCAGGAATTCAGCCAGGACATAATGACGAAATCACACAGAACAACCTCACAGTTACACCAATACCTTCAAGTGCTGCCACCACCCAAGGACTTCAGTCCTGAGAAAATAGCCAGCCCTGCCCTCCTCTTCTCTAGCCCAGTTCTTCTGCAATGAGTCACACCACCATCCGAGATGTTCACTTAGCCAGCACACCCAACCACCCCAGAAGCATCTTGGCACATGCCCTCCCCACATGGTTTTGGCCCCACCATCCTGGAGTTCACAGGCACCTGCAGGAGGGTGCCTGGGGTGCAGGGGTACAGGGAAACTGGGAGGACTTTGCCTCCCACCAGCATTTGCCTAGTTTATGAGGATTCAGGATAACATATTTCATCCAGTCAAGGAAAACATAAAAAGTCTTATTGCTTTAAAGAGTTTAAAAAGCACTGTTCAAGACAAATAGGCAACCGGTCCACAACTTTACTTCCAACTCTTGTTTGACATAGAACACTTGCACCTTTGTCTTTGGGAATTGGGTTCTCTTCAGCCATGAGAGGCCCTCAGTGCCACACAGTATCAACTGTCTCAGTGGTGGCAGCCAGAAACCCTTCACAAATATCTCCTAAGTATGCAACTTGGGTCTTACTCCAGAGGAGAATGCCCCACTTCCTCTACCATGCATAGAGGGACAGCTACCGAGGCTTCTATTCCTGTAACTCCATCTCCTTCAAAAAATGCTCATTCCGAGTCCCTGTGTGCTTAGCTGCCCATGTGTGCCTAGACAAGCCCAAGCCCACTTCTCCAACCAATCTATCAGCTCTGAAAGGGATAGACAGGGAGGGGAGCAGTGAGGGCAGAAGGGAACCTCCCCAAGCAATCCAGGGCTCTGCTCAATCCCACCATCAATAGACAGCAGCCGAAGTCTGACCACACCCACTTTTTCTGGTTGAGCTTTTACCCCTCAGTTTTTCTTTGGACAATATTCAAAGCTACAGAGAAGTTGAAAAAATAGTTCAACTACATAACCAAAGCCCTATTATTACAAGCAAGGAAAGTAACATTTATTCAATAAGATCCAATAGAGGATTCCTGTTCAAGATTGTACAATGACGGGCCTCCCGGTGGCGCAGCGGTTGAGCGCTGGGTTGCGAAGCTGCCCACGGCCTCTGCGGCGCTGGTTCGATCCCCGGCTGCTCCCCGGCCACCGGAGGAGGGTCCCACATGGCGCGCAGACCGCTCCTGCCACCCGCTGCTCCCCTCAGCAGTGTACTTCGGTCCTTCTGCCTGCTCTGCTCCCTGCTCTGACTCTGGTGAATTCTCTCACCCTCCCGTGCTTCTGACTGTACCCAGTGCTTGTATAAATAAATAAATAAATAAATAAATAAATAAATAAATAAATCTTAAAATATTTAAAAAAAAAAAAAAAAAAAAAAAAGATTGTACAATGACTCCAACAGATCTTTCATATTTTATTTTTGATCCAGGATCTAATCAAGGTTCACACATTATATTTATACTCAGTCTCTTTAGTATTCTATCTCCAATAGAGTCTCATCTTTTTTTTTTTAAGTGACACTGAATTTATTGAGGGTTTTCTGGGCAATTGTTTTACAGAGTATCTAATGTTGGATTTTTTAATTCCCTTATTATTAGATTTGGTTAAATAAGTTTGGCATGAGTAGTACATGGGTAATAATGTGTGCTTCTTAATCAACTTAGGGGCCTCCCTTTTGGTGCGAGGGGCTAAGCACAACACTGTTAAGTTAGCCACAGTCTCTGCAGCACGAGTTCGATCCCTGGCTGACCAGGGAGCTGACCCATATGGCGCAGCAGACCTCTCCTGTCTCGCCCGCTGCTTCCTTCAGCAGTGTATTTCAGTCAGTCTGCCTGTTCTGTTGCCCACCCTGTTTCTGGCAAATTCTCTCACCTCCCTGCACCTCTGGCCTGCACCCCAGTTCTTGTATGCATAAATAAATCCATCTTGAAAAAAAAAATCAATCACCTTGGAAGTCACATGATATCAGTTGTCCCACTACTGTCATGTTAAATTGGATCCTGGGTTGAAATGCTGACTGTCAGATTACACCTCTGTACTTTTAAAATCAGTAAATAATCTGAGATGATATTTTGAGACCATGTGAGCATACTGTCCCATGATAACTTATTACCAATTTAGTTTTTGCACCCATTCATCAACTTATTCAGGGATTACAGGAAGAGAGATTCTCGAGATGTATTTGCTGATGTTCTATAAAAAAGAGCTTTCTAGTTTTTATTCTCTCTTTCAGATTATTACTATATACCCATGGATTTTTCTATATTATTCAATGTGTTGTAACACATTATTGTCACTATTCTTTTTTTTTTAAAAAAAGATTTATTTATTTATACAAGCACTGGGTACAATCAGAAGCGCGGGAGGGTGAGAGAATTCACCAGAGCGAGAGCAGGGAGCAGAGCAGGCAGAAGGACCGAAGTACACTGCTGAGGGGAGCAGCGGGTACCAGGAGAGGTCTGCGCACCATGTGGGACCCTCCTCCGGTGGCCGGGGAGCTGCCGGGGATTGAACCGGCACTGCAGAGGCTGTGGGCAGCTTCACAACCCAGCGCTCAACCGCTGCGCCACCGGGAGGCCCGTCACTATTCTTTTTGATGTTCCAGTTGCTCTAATTTTGCCAGGAGAACCTTTCAAACTGACTTCTGGGTGCTCTGCTATGATCCCATTTGTGTTTGAGCACTCCCTGGCTTTCCATCACAAACAGGCCCCAGCCCACCTTGTTCTTCCTCTGCTCCAACCTAGAAGCAGTCATTTTTCTTGGATCCTGCTAGTGGACTATCCTCTCTTTTTAAGCCGATAAGCAACTTCACATTCCTTCACCTCACTCCAGTCATAACTTCATTTTCTACCCTCCTCCTTCTCTGTCACTCATCATTTGCATTAGCAGGGAATACTCTGTCCATGGGAAGAAGGTCATCAGTAAAAGGGAGAGACAAAGACCTAGAGTAAATTTTGGGACATTTCTCAAACATTTACTGGTCAGTGAAAAGCTTCCTTTTAATAGGTGACCACATAACTGGTTAATTCCACAGCAACATTTGTATCTCAAGAAGTCATTGTCTCATGATTCCACTTATGAATTCTATCTCATTTTATTATTTTATTTTATATTTATATAAAATATGTGTGTCATAAAACACACTGCCTACCTTCTGGGATTCCTGTCCCTTCCTTTTGCTTTATCTGTCTCTACTAACACTTACTACCTTCTAAACTCTGTAAAATACACTTTAGAAATTTTCATTCTCCTTTCCTAGAATATAAATTCCATGTATGGCAAGCATTTCTCCATGCCCTGCTCTGTTGACTACTATATTTGCAGAGTGTACAACAGTGCCTGGGATACAGTAGATGCTTGCTTATTTTTCATGAATGAGAAAAATGGCTTGCCCCAGACCAGACCTAGAGCTGAGCAGGACCTCCTACTTATCCTTTAATGTTACCCCCAAGTCATTTCCTTCCTTTGTTCCCAGAGCCCTTCTTACACTTCTGGATCCTAATATTTGACCTGTTCCATCCTCATTTAAAGGTCAGTCTCACCTGAAAAACTGGGAGTTCCTCTAAGACAAGGGATGAGGTCAGACTTATCTTCATGGCCCAGAAATTCTGCACAGTGTTGACATAAAGATGTCTACTGAACACCTCCTCCCTCCAGCAAGAGCCTTTTCCCATGACAGGGCTGCCTGTCGGGCTCTTCCACTCCACGCAGCCGCTTCACTGCAAGAGTTGGGCCTCCTGGGGCAGTTCAGAGTGGCTCTGGCTCCGCCAACAGCTCACAATGGGTCCTTTGACTCTACTGGACAGGGCTTTTTTAACAAAAACGTGTCTCCTGCACCTGTCACTACTGTCCCTACAGATTCAAGGCAACACAGAGCCAGTGTTCAGCAAGAAACAAGAGCAGGGATGTGAGGCCAGCACAGTGAGTGGGCAAAGTCGTCTGACTTCGGGGAAGATGGGAGAAGGGCCCATGAGGTGGAGAGGGCCTTTCATCCACAGACTGCCGATACTTAGGCCCTGTGACTAGCCGAGGGATGGGAGGGGACGGGTTCAAAGAATATAAAGGTTAGAACTTGGCAGAGATATGCCCTGAGACAGCTTACTTGTTCTTTTCTTTCAAGCTTCTTTTCACTTTGTTCAGAAACTGGACTCTCCGGAGGTATAGTCAGCCGTAATCTGCAGACATTTGCCTAAGAGAGATGGAGAGCAAAAGCCAGTTAGGAACCATTTTGGGGTAGAAAGAGCTAGGCGGTCTTGTGCTTCTCAGAGCCTCCTGAGCAATGGCAAGAACTGTGCCAATCACACCAGGAGCGCTGAGGGTCGACCAGCCTTAGCCAGGCCCAGCACAGGCACTGCTGCTGCTCAAGACAAAAAAATTACTGTTCAAAACAAGGAAACTACTGAAAATATTCATAGATTTCAAAGACTTTTTCAATGGCTCAGGCTCCATAACAGTCTGGCCTTATTTCATATACCACACAACACAATACAGGTGGAGGGTCAGAGGCCAAAGTACACTGTAGTGACTGGGGCTTAAGGGTGTTTTCCACTTGGTTATATATTGACCTTTTCTACAACAGAACTGTAGATGTTTTATAACAAAGTCTTTTTTTTTAAAGATTTATTTATTTATGCATACAAGAACTGGGGTACAGGCCAAAGGCGTGGGAGGATCCACCAGAGACAGAGTGGGGAGCAGAACAGGCAGACTGACTGAAATGCACTGCTGAGGGAAGCAGCAGGCAAGACAGGAGAGGTCTGCTGCGCCTTGTGTGTAGCTCCCTGGCCAGGGATTGAACTCATGGTACAGTGGCTCGGATTGCTTCATAGATTGTGTCTTAACCCCTCGTGCCGCCAGGGAAGCCCCAAAGTCTTTTTTTTTAAGTCTATATACCCATGTATATGTACCCTTATTTACAATAGCCAAAGGGTGTAAACAAGCAAAATGTCCATCAGGGTGGAGGTAATGTGGCTGCATACATCTGAGGAGGTGTGGACTTATCCCCCTGAATCATGTACAGTGTTATAAATGAATGTTACAACACTAAAGAAATAAAAATGCCAACTGATAGAGAAATGGATAAATAAAATGTGTTATATACACAAAATAGAATACTATACAGCTGTGGGTTGCTATGAGCTGGCTACTAGCTGGTCACTCATGGGCAACTGTGACCTATTTGTTATCTACAAATCAAAGCAGAGAATTCCTTGACTACCTACAGAGTATAGTTCATATCAGGAGGCAGGCCTGAGGACACCTAGGCCACTGTTGACCTGATTACGTGCCTATCTCAACGGTGGTCCCAGGATAACTCTGCCTGCGATAACATCAAATACTTTGCTGACGCAAATGGCTCTTGACGTATGGTCGCAATGACCCCTTCCCTGTCCCATGTAAAACGTTGTCCCCCATTCCTATCCCAACCTCCAGACTTTATTCTTCATACCATTGTCATATGATCAGCTTTTACTAGCCTGTATGCTTTCAATAAATGGCATAAGAACATCTGCTCAAATAGCAGAGTCTTGCCTTGCAAACCTGCTCCACAACTGTTCTGTCCCTCATCAAGTTGAGTTCCCCACAAAGTGGCAACAAAGTTCCTGTTGCAACATACAGCCTTTAAAAAGGACATCCGGCCATATGCTATTGATACAACATGGATAAACCTTGAGGACATTGTGCCAAGTGAAATAAGCCAATCATACAAAGACAAATATTCTATGATTCCATTTACATGAAAGACACAGAATAGTCAAATTCATAGAGATAGAGAGGTGAATGGTGATTGCCAGGGGCTGAGGAGATGAAGGAATGAGGAGTTATTATTTAATGGATATTGAGTTTCCAAGATGAAAGTGTCCTGGAAATGGATGGTGGTAACCATTGCACAGCAATAAGAATGCTATGTTGTCACAGCCTGGTCTTGCTGTGACAGCTCCCAGGAAGAAGTAAACCTACCATTTAAAAAAAGAAAATTAAAGAGGGCCTAGAGAAAACTAAGTAAAACTAAGTAGCGCCTGCAGTACCCATCCCACAGCTACATGGGCCTCATTAGAGAGCTGCTTTCCTTGCATTATGGGTCGACTTGTATCCCCCCCTCTAAAATTTATATGTTGAATCCTCACCCCAGCAACTCATAATGTTACCATATCTAGGAATAGAATCTTTACAGAGGGGATCAAGTTAAAATAGACCCCAATCCAAAATGACTCATGTCCTTACAAAAAGGGGAAATGTGGAGACAGATGTGCATATTGGGACAATGCCTGGTAAGCAGGCCAAGGAGAGAGGCCAGGAACAGATCCCTCCCTCACAGCCCTCAAAAGGAACCAATCCTGCTGACACCTTGATTTTAGATTTTCAGCTTCAGATCCGTGAGACAATACATTTCTGTTGTTTCAGTCACCAGTAGTACTTTTTACAGCAGCCCTAGCAAACTAATACAGTCCCCAACCTGGTTTGCCCTGGTCCACAGAGCAGACTCTGAGCAAAACTACTGTTTAGCTTGGAAAACAAGGATGGGACTGTAAAAGACATTTTAAGTCTAATCTTCGAGGAACCTCAACGCCCAACAAAGTACCATGCAGGTACTTTGCCCACTTTGAGGGTGATGTTTGAGGGTGATGTTTCCATGCTCATGAGCGGAAGCCCAAGTTTACATCATGTCTTAGCTCTTCCACAATGTCACCTCCCTCTAAGGCATCCCACTTTCCTACTAGGCACCTCTAACTTCCAGATAATGAACTTACATAATGAACCCAGGGTTGCCCTTGGGGACCACAGCAGAACTCATCTTTCTCTACACAGCCCTCCTGTGCTGATTCTGCTTTCCTCTAGATGAAACAACCCCAGTCCATTCAACCACATGTCTTGGTTGAAAAGCTCTCTCTTCATCCTCATCCTCCTCTGGGCAAGTTTAGTGCCCCAGTGATTGCAGGGTCAGATGCAACCTGATTCTCCATCGCTGCCTCTTATGTGGTAACTTCACACCAAACCTTTAAAGTTCACCATTACTTGTGGCGACCAAAAAGAAACCAAGCCATTCCACGAGGCAGTACTCTTAGCTGACAGGCAACAACAGTGACAGGAACCCAAGACCCTGCAGAAAAAGGTAATCCTCTGACTTGAAGTCACCTGAACTGCTTGAAACCAGTCTGACATTTGTACAATCATCAAAGAGTAACTCACACCAAGTAGGTAATATAAATTGGTGAGGCTCAATAATCTCCTCTGAAAGGCTGGATCCAACCCCCAGCATAATTCTGCAGAAAAGAAATTCTCATCTCCCCCACAAGGGTATACATACATGCACATGCACATATCAGTTACTAATATTCATATACACACACATGCACACATACAAAGATTCCAATATCTACTAGCTATGTGACTATAGACAAGTTACCAAATCTCTCTGAACGTCAAAGGTAAAGATAAGAGGAAGGCACATGGCACACAGCAAAACAATCACAAATGTTTGAATTTTTAATATTATCTAGATGTGATCACCACTACAATCTCCAAAATGAAACAGCCTACTTGGCTTCATAATCTTGCTTCCCATAATAATAACAATTTGGTCAATGCTCTACTTCTACAGTAGCACTGTAAAAGCAGCCTCTGGTTGGTCGATTGCCCTAAAGGGGTAAGCCCTAATTTCAGAGCAAACTAAAAGACTTAGGAGACAAGGCCCAGAGGGAACTCCATGGGTCCAATTACCCAAAAGTGATATGGCCCCTCCCCTTTCATAAGCCCATTCTTTATTAGTGTACCCAGAATTCTCTGATATTCCTCAACACACTATCTGCAGATATACCCCTGGGCACACAAAGCCACAGGATAAATAGAATGCATTTCCCTAAGCCATTATCAGCTTTACCAAGATAGATAATGAATTAAAGTCAAATGAAGCTGTAAATATAAACAGTTGCTGCAAGTGCCTTAGGCTACACCTCACCTTTCCGCGTGTTTATTCTTGTCATTAGAGGTCTTTGATGGAAACACTAAGGAGCACTTCTAGCAAGCTCTCTTTAATCAATGTTGCCCCAATGACAGGCTGACTGTCAGATGCAATTTAAACCCAGCTTGAAGCAGGATCAGACGCCTTCCTAATAAGATGACCCAAAGTACTGTCATGTGAATAAAAAGGAATCTATGGGGAACATGTTAAGGATAATTCTATTTTTGTTGTTTAAATATGCCCAGATAATTTGTGCATAATTAAGGGGGAAAATGTCTTTAAGGAAACATAACCAACTGGTGGTGGTGGTGGTGGTGATCTCTGGAAAGTGGGATTTCCGCATTGTTTACAACTGTTTCAAATATGTGTAAGTTTTTAAATTAAAATAATAGTAGTATTAGCAATAATAAAGATTAAAAGAGAATATATCAGAAAAATATGTATGGATGTGTGTGTGAGAGAGAGAGAGAGATCAATCCTTCCTAAACCCACAAGAGCAGCAAAGAGAACATCCCAGCAGTCTAGAAGGTATGCTAATTCCTTAACAGAAGCAGTATGAAAGGTAATCCTTGAATGTACTCATTAAGTTGACGTATTACAGTTTACCTCCCTTTATTCATTTGTTTTCAGGAACCTCCCTGTGGGAAAATCTCCAACTGAATAAGGTCCAGGCAGTGACACTTATCTTTCTGAGCACTTTATGATGCTGATCTCCATAGTTTCCTGAAACTCAGGTACACAATACTGAGAGCTTGCCAGGCAAAGTAGTACCTGAGAGGTAAATAAGCTACTTTATTCCCAGGGTTCCCATAGCATCTGGCTCATCCTTATGTTCTGAACAAGTAGGAGGGCTGAATTTTACTTTCCCTGAACTCAATTGCTATAGGACCAGCCTGGTCTACAAGTGAGGGTCCCCAATAGTGGATCAAAATCAGGAAGCAGGACTCAGTGCATTTCATTATTCAGTCACTGAGCATCCAATTAAGTATCTTAATAAAAGTAAGATACTTTTAAGAACTAAGAAGATACCAAAATGAAAAAGAAGCAGCCATGTGCCCAGGAGCTCGTAATGTAGAATACTCCCAAAGCAGGCAATTAACAACAACATATAAATCAGACAGAGAAAGACAAATACTATATGATTTAACTTATATTGTAACAGGGTGGTCCCCAGGAAAGGGGGAAGTTCCTCCACCCAAGGGAGGGTGGAGCTGAGCAGGAAGAGG